CTGTGGATAGTCTAAAAAACACAACAAAAAAAATCCTGAAAATTCCCTATGACTGGCAGAAGCAATATGACTGTGAGCAACCAGGAAAAGGTGGTGCAACAATAACCCTCCCAAAAAATAAATTGCAATAACCAAGAAATTTTTCTTACAACTGCAACTACAACTCGAGGAACACTACGGAAGGGCATGAACATTTTAATTACAGCCAGCTGTAGCTCAAGTCACTAAACAAGAAACTGTCTAAACCAACTCAATGATACTTTATATCCTTTTCTTCAGTAAGGAAATAAGAAAATTACCAACTCTACAGATAAATAAAATTTAAAGTACATTGATACACTTCCTCAGATGTAAATATACTTCAGAAATACTACTGACATATCTTTAACATATCTCACCTTTGAAACAAAAATAAGAAACCAACTAACTCAGTATTTTGTTTACTGTGAAGAAAAATCACTCATCCTTACCAGATCCTCTTTCAAATCTTTACTTTGCTGTCTTACACAAGAAAAATTTTTATCTGAAGCTTGACTGAAAAACATTTGGAGGTATCTTGCTTTCAGAGAAATGAGATGCCTGCTACATTTTTGGATGCTTTTAAGATGCATTGGTCTTACTGGAAAAACAGAAAGACCACCAAAACATAGCCAAATAAATGGCTTCTGTGTGGAATAGATTTTTATCTTACAGTTCACAGCAAATCATCACAGAGCCAGGAACCACTACTCAGTTGTTTCTTTTTTATTCAGAAAAAGACTATACTTCTCTTCCAAACCATGCTATATTATGGGACAGCAGGATAGAAGGACTGTTTCATGGAATGACACCTTAAAAGTCTGCAAGATATTAATATGCTACAACGGTAAATTCAGCTCAGTGGCTACATCCTCCTCCTCATTAGATGAGAGGTAGTTTCTTTCAATTTTTACAAGATTTTCTAGAGCTACTGCCAAAATTTTGACAGCTAAGTGGCTGCCATTCAGAGCAGCACTCACTGGAACAGGCATACATCAGAAAAAGTAACATTAGAGAATTAATGTTGCCAATTACACAATAATTCTTGATTCACTCTTCCTTATGAAGTATTACAGAAGAAGCTAGGTTGTATTGCTCTGTTTTTAAGACGACAACATAGATGTGAAAACATGCTTTTATCTTGTGTACAAGAAACAAACCACAGACTGCTTTCACTGTAGTTGTATTGAAAAGATCAAGAAATCAGCAAATCTATCAGTCACCCTGATCATGAAAACAGCTAAAGAAAACTTTTCAAACTATCATCTTCAGGGTATTCAGCTGTAACAGATCACATGGCTGTCTGAGGAGCTGCAAAGATTATTGATGAAACGCTTGAAACTATTGAAACACTGAATTTAGGCCATCACTATGCTGTTCATACATTATTACTAAAGCATCACCAATAAGAAATTTCATAACAGGCAAGCTTTGGCATTTGTTGGTCTGCAGTATTTTCAGTTTAGTGGGAAGTTCATAAAAATTTTGGGCCTTTTTTAGCTGGATGACCATTTGCAACTTCTGAAAATTTCTAATGGAACAACAAGAGAAAAGAAACCTCAGTGAGAATTTCTGAGTGAGTTATCTGTAAAGCTTTAATAGGGATAAGTAAACTATTGCTTCTTTTCTAGGAGCTAAACACATGCTCAGTCAAAAAGAACAAGAAAGCTCATGCGTGTACAGGGGGCTGAGGAGGTATCTGCTGCTTTCCCAGGCATAGCTGTTGGGGGTACACTGACTTATACTGCCCAAGGTAATTCATCCCCATAACATGACAGCCCAGACTAATAGCTGAAAGTGATTTGGTCAAAGGAACATCCACTAATAGGGTGCTACATTTAATTTGAGATATAGATAGAAGAGTAACAGCAAATGCCACTGTTGCATGCATCTTTATTTGACTTTGCCACATGAGTAATACTTTCTTTTTTTTCTTTTTAAATTCAGGTTTTTAGAGAGTCTGGAACCACCGCTTAACATATATAGGATCATAGAATCACTTGGGTTGGAAGAGACCTTACAGATCACCTTATTCCCTTGCCATGTAAATGCAGCAGCATGAATTGTGTATTTGCAACGTATGTCACAGATCTCAACAGTACACTAATTCACTTTCAGCCACATAGAGCACTTGTTTCGACACCAGTTACCAACATTAGACATACAAAAAAAAAATTATTCTTATGATGGAAGGTTATTATACAATATATTATTCATTATCAACCCACATATAAAATGTTGGGTTTTATGCAGTACTTTGCTCATGGAATTTTTACAGATGCTCCTCAATACTATCTGAGAATGCAACATACAATAACAGATTTATGTGGAAAATCTACAAGATAAAATTACTTTTAAACAAGATGAAGCCAGCACCCCATTGTATAAAAACAATTCCAGATTTAGCAGTCTTAACTGCAAAAGCATCCCTGCACCCTGTTTAAAAAACACATGAACAAAAACTAGAGAAGAGTGTCTGCCACCAATTGCAATTTGACTGCAGAATGAGGTAAATGAAGAAGGTTGAGGGCTTGGGAGATAGTGGTGGAGTGGGTTTGCTTGTTTGGCCTTTCAGGGTTTGTTTGTGAAGGTTTTTTAGAAACAAATACTTAGGCAGAAAAAATTAGAAAGGCTACTTCACAATCTGCATAAGCACATTTAACTTAAATTGCTACCGAAAGATAAAATCCCACTTTCTTCCCTGCACTTCAGTTCCCGCATTATGTTGGCTCTACAGACACATCATTTTCTAGCAAGTGAAACAACCTGCCAGACTCCTGATTTGGCAAGTTTGCTTTCAGACAGATCAATGAGATAATCCAACCTACCCCGCAACTTCATGATCACTAGAAGCAATAGGAGTAAGGAAATGACAAAGCCAGAGCTGTGGGGAGGGCAGACCGCCCTTTCCAGAAGCCAAGTGTTAGATCAGCATAAACTTATCAGCAACCCTATCACCAGAGGTTGTAATGATTCACTGCACTTTCTATTACAGGTTTTTCTACTTTCATGCCATTCTCCTCCTTCAACTCAGGTTTCTACTGTCTCGGTGTGACATGGTTTCATAATGTATTTTACAGTAATCCTGGCTTGAAGTATTCTCCACACACACCTCCCACCCCCACATACTCATCTCCAGACTCCCAACCCTGGCTCAGCTAAACCCGTTCACCTGCCTCCTGTTAGAGCCTCAAATAGTTGAAGGAACGGTTCAGATTTAAAGACAACTTCCATGGTAAAGTTTTCTTTTAAGACTGTGTCGTCCAACATGCATTTTACAACACAACAGAAATAAAACCACATTTTACTAAATCTCTTTCTTGTCCTGTTGACTCCCACCTTTGCTCAAAAAAGCTCCCACAAAAAGTGGTCCCAACACAGCATCTGAAAGGACATCCCCTTCTGCTGGATTATTTCTCATATGGAAGTAGTCCAAGCCTGCTCACTGTGAAGCCAAAGAAACATTTGTACCAACATAGTGCAAGAAGTAACACAGGAGCAGGACAGTGCTATTTTTGGCAACCATAGGATCCTAAGTGCACGTCAGCACACAACTTCAAGCCAAATCAGCTCCCTGATCTGATTCACACCATACTCGCTGTGCAGTACAGAGAGAACCACTGAAAGAATGAAGAAGGAAGTATCTACCTCTCAAGAACAAGCAACAGGAAGAGATTAATACCTTAAACTGGTACTACTGAGCACACTGTATCCTTAAATTAGAGTTTAATATTTCATATCTGACCAATGGCCTAGTTAATAAAAGTTTAAGTAGGTAGGCTGTTTCCTTCTTTTTGCTTCTCAGATTTTTCAAGCATCCCTTGCTTTTGAAAAACCTATTTCAATATACATGTAACCAAAGAAACAATAAGGTATATATATTTAAATGGAATTCACAAGAATGTATTGCACAACAGCCTTGTCTTCACTGAATAATTATGAAATCAAAGAGAAAAGAAAGAATGTGACTTTTACCAGAAAGCAACAGAAGTTACAAGGTAAACAGTTGCCAAGCACAGGATAACATCAACACAAAAAGAAGAAGCAAGGGAAGTATAAATCCAAGATACTGGTCTGCTCAGGATTCTGCAATTCATTCTCTACCCTACCATACTGAACTTGTAACTACTCATTTCATCAATATTAATTGAACGGCATTACAATTTAATAACTTTGTTTCATTTTAGATTGAGATATTTTCACCTTTTTCATCCTCCTTGCTCCCAAGCAAAGATTTTGTCTGCAAAATACAGCGAAAGTCTTGAAGTATTTGGGTTCCTGACTGTTGTATTTAAATGCCTAAATTTCAGTTTATACTTTTTTAAAGAAAACATTGCATATGCTCCCCACGAATATGAAAACCCGTCTTCATATTTTGAATGTGCAGTTATTAGGCTTGCCATGAGCTGATTCTGTAAACATGAAAGATTAATGCAATGAACTGTTCCCTTGATTTCTCTTTTTATTCTTTTTTTCTAAAACAATTCCGTTTTTTTAAAAGAACAGTAGCACCTAATTTACACGTGCATTTATTTTCTTTAGATGCAATTCTATGGATAAGCATTACAAACAAAATACTACAGCATTATTAAACATAATGGTATGGAATTATATTAATTTACTAATTAAAGTTTATTGAAATAATTTCTAACTTGATTTGAATATGGAAATGCAGGGCTACAAATGGGCACCGAGTTCTTATTTATAAAATAACTGTATGATTTGCACTTGAAAACTTAGACAGAAGCAGCTCAGACCTTGAGTTAATCGACATGTTAGTCACGGCATTTTTCAGTGATCAAGAAACCAGGTTACACAACCTGCCATGGCAGCACAGGATATTTATTGTTCTATATCTGCGTGAAGTCCCTGCCTTGTTACTAGCAGGGCTGCCTTTTTTTTTTTCCCTCTCCCACTCCTCCCCCCCACCCCCCGCCCCAAACGTTTCTAAGTATAGTGACAACCTCATCAGGGTTTACTAGTAGCAGCGCAAGCTCAGTGAAAACCTGGGAAATCTAACTGGAAACACGAGAGAGAGCTTTATTTGGCAGTGCTAAAAAAACCTGGGGACAAATGGCTAAGCGGCGGTGGAAGTGCAGGCTGCACAATCAATAGGCAGAGAGCCGGATAGAGGCTCCCTTCGCTGCCGGATCGACAATCGACAGCTGAGAGACTATTTTTTGCAATGGTTGACTAAATATGGTCAGGGAAGAGAGAGGCACAAGAGAGCCTGTTTGCCTGGGAGTGCGTGTTTCAAATGCTTAGCTGCCTATAAAGCCGTAACAGTTTTGCTCGTGCCCTCTAAGTGGGAAATACGGTTGGTGACTTCTGTAGTGTGTGTGCGGGAGCCCTGACCTCGCGAGCAGACTTGACCTCTGAAGATGGAAAGTAGCTTCAACACAGACCTGCCTACAGTTAAGCCTGGAAACATAACCTCAAGCAAGAAAAGATGCAGTGCAATATCTAAGGAACTAGAAGAAACCAATATTTGCCGGGGGAGGGGGGAGACGATCGCTATTTTTTTGGTGCCTTTTTCTAATTTTTTTTTGGAAGCAACTCCAACTTTTGGGGGCTTGGTTTTGGTCTTTTGTTGGGTTTTTATTTTTCTTTTTGCCTGTGATTATCTTCATCTGACAGTGGGCTAAGTTCACCTTCCCTTGGCTTCCTAGCATCTATCCTTGGAGTCTTAACTCTCAGTCCAGCAGACATAAGGTATAATTTCTATACAACATCATCCATATTTTAACATTCAAAAGAAAGAAAGAAGGTGCCAATTAGGCACCCATCTTCATGCCTTTTTTTTTTCTTTTAAGTTTTATCTATTTAAGGTGGTGAGGTACTGTATGCACCGACATTCGCCCCCCCTTGCCTCCCCCTCCCATGTAACGAAGAGCTGATTCAGCGAATAGAGTGAGAGCACTCAGGATGAGATGGCTGCTGCTGATGTGTCTCTAGGTCATTACCTCTCTTCCAACTGCAAATGCTGCATGATACTAAGCTTACAGGTAACAGAACATCAGGAGACCTGCATTATTCTGCACGTTTACAGGATGCCTATGACTTTCTGCATGTATATCTTATTTACTAGACTGTTTTTTTAATTGTTGTATTAATCCCTCTACTCTGGGAGCAGCTTAATTTTGAGTGTGCTAAAGTACCAAGCATTTGTAGTGTAAAGAGCAGGTTGCAAGAAAACAACTGTTAGTCCAAATTTCATAGCAAAGGAAAAAAAAGAAACAAAAAAAGAAACCAAAAAAACCAAATCCCAACTTGCTTAGTAGACAGAATTCTTTTTAAAGAAGATAAACTAATAAATTGCAATGCCATTAACTGGTTGTTCATTTCAGTGAAATATATTCTTATCTTCCTATGCACAACTGAAAATGTACAAACTTGAAAAAGAAAACCTAATAAACAGTGTGGCAGTGCAATGCTGAGTTCTCAAATAGGTCTAGGCAAAATTTTCAAGGTGCTTTATATCAGACGTACATGAAAACAGCCTACTTAAAAACTAGAATGTGACTGCTGTGATTCTAATGCTGCATTGCTGATTCTCCTTGTACTACTGTGCTAGCTACTGCTACACTCTGATTTGCTCTCTATCAGCTGCACTAGGTTTTTGTCATGAGCTGCAGAAATTCTTACTTCCTCTGCTCTCAGCTTTCCTTACAACTATTACAGTTACTAATTGTTAGGCTTATTTCAAATTTACCTTCTAATGCTACAGAGACAAAGCTTTACTGTAACCCAAATCAACTCCTGAAAGACATATTAAGTAACCATAAGCTATATCCGACAGTTCCTTAGAAGTCAAAGCTGTACTGCACATCAAATATTTAACCACTGTTCCAAACCAAGTCGCACGAAATCTTACGAAACAGAGTTAAACTTGGGCTTTGTTTCTATGAGGTTTTTTTGTTTGGTATGGGTTAATTTTTTTAGTTAATTATTTTAGCTGTCATAAATATGTCAAGGGTGGACAAGACTTTGACTGAAGCAGGTGAGTGCCAGTTCTAAAAAACGAGAAAAGCTGCTTGCAGAAGTGTTGAATAGGTATTAGCTTTCACATGTGACCTTCGGCCTAACAATCCAAATCCTGTCAAAGCAGTTAGAGGTTGTTTTCTTAACTCAATGTCATCATCTTTACGATAAGCAGGATCACTGTTGACATGTGCCTTTGTGTTTGGGTTGGGCTTTTTGTGGGGTTTTGTTTGTTTGTTTTGTTTTGCTGTACTTTTTGTTTCGATTTTTAAAACCTTCTGAAATACAGTGTAAATAAGGATAAACCTGCAAAGAGTTTGCAGAATAATGGATGGGATACAAAAAGCATAGAAGTGGGGTTTGGGGTAAGAAAATAAGTTTATAATTGCTATTTTAGATCAGTCTATGCTTCCCTTCAGGATACTACACGCAAACTGTACCCCAGCTTGAAAATCTGCTAGAAGACCTGGGAGGAAGCTGAGGCTTTTACAGTGGACTACAACTACGAATTCCAAGAAAAGACATTGCAAAACTACCTGCGATTCAACTCTCTACTTAAACACTGTCACTTAGAAGAGCAGGAGGCTGCAAAAATATGGAAAAGCACTTCTAACATCAGTGCCATCCCAAAACAATGAACTATGCCCGGCTTTAAGACATTGAGCAGGTAAATGGCATTGCAAAATTCAGTTAGCATAGTAAGTTTATTTTCTACCATCAGTTAATCAGAACTGTTGTCCTTCAAAGAACTGTCAGTCAGTTTTACCTAATGACAGCAAGAAAAAGCAGCAAAATACTTTTCAGGTTCATCTGACAGGCAGTCAAGCAACTCTGTGTGTACCTGCTCAGAGCACATACTTCTTTATGTACCCATATGAACATACAATGCTATGGAATGTAAAGAAGTATGTATTTTTGGCAGGCAAGGAACGACCAATAAGAGGAAACTAAACAGCTGCTGGAAGAAACAGGTTTCCCTCTTGTTCGAATGACATTCATGTGACAAATTGGCTTGCTAAGGGTCAGCTGGTATTGCCAAAATAACTCATACTTGTTAGTAACAAATCACAAAATGTTAAATTAAGTGACTATAAAAGTAGGTAGAAAGAATTGTTAACAGCTGATAAGCAGAATATTACTTACAAACAGAATTCAAAGCAAGGCTGGAAATGAAACCTTGAAATGCACCAATTAAGACTGCAGCATAGTTGCAAATTCATCATTACCAGTACTCCTCACTTCATAAATCTTAAACTAAACTTAAAAGCTTGCCTGGTTACCAAAATGCATCTCATAGACACTAGCTACTGTTCTAGTAATCACAGCCTGTTCTGTGTACTTCAGATGGCAGTACTTAAATTTGCATCTACCATAGAACATTTAATCCACAGGTTGTAACTGAGACAAGTATTAACAGCTAAGGAATTACAGGTGTGATCCAGAGAAAATTATAATCAAAATAATTGAATATAACTTCTGCAATTTAATAAGACTTAAGTTAGAATTTTCTCCAAATCAGCACTTATTATGCTCACTGAGCTCTTCAACACAAAGTGCAGTGTCAGGTTTATGCACAGAAAGTGACAATACAGAGATTTCTAGGCCAGAGTTGCTAGTCAGCGGATTAAATCTATTGACAGATTCCTAAATGAAAACACAAATGACAACTACAGCCTAAAAGGTAAGTTAGCTTAAATACTCTTTTCAAATAAGCTGGATTTATTTTAAATCCAAATTTAAGAAAATTCATAATTTAAAAAAACCATTGTAGCATTCAAAAATTTTTAACAACTACATGAGAAATAGTTCCACAATAGTTTCAAGTTCTAAAACAGATATCTATCAAAATACACTGGTGCATACTATCCCTAAGTAAAGATACTCAACATCAAATTCAGGAACAGGGGAAAAACATGAGGAAAGAACTCCCCACTCATCAATCCAGGCACTCTATTCATGACGGCAGCCTTCTAAAAACACTTATTAAATAGGATATGTCCATGATAAGTAGGCACATTTGGCCTAGATTAAAGATTCTAACTGTAGCCCTTTGCTTACTAAAACGTCTGTGAGAAAAAAAAATCCAACCAAAACAAACAAGAAAAATAAACAAAGGCAATGCATGATTTTTAGATGGACTTATTTTTAAATACTCATATAATTCTCAAACAGCTAATAATACACATAGTATATGTACATCTGAGACTACACATTAATACATATACAAGAAGAAATATTATCTTACCTGCTTAAGAAAGCAAAGTTTCAATATTTGTTTTAAAGCTCTTTCTCTTAGGAGCAGATATTTTGACACGAAGGCTACAGTATCTTAACATCTAAATTAAAGCCTGGTTTATAGTAGGAAACAAATTGCAGTAGCTTTTCTGAATAAGGCAACGCTACTAAACGTGATCATGCTCACAGAAGCAATCTAGTGTAACTAACTGCTTCACTGAGGGGTTAATTGCTAAGCATTTTCTTCTTTTCCTGAAGAGTTCCTGTGCTCAGCACCAACTGATTTAGCTTCCCCTATAAAACGGGACAGATCTTTTAACCGACTTAATTTATCCAAAAGGTTTTTGGTAACATACTGTGTTCTCCCTTGTAAAACACTGCAACATTATTCTGACACAAAATGACAGTTCAGAGTGATACAAAAGTTAAAATTATATGTTGACTTTGCTTCCTGCTAGTTCATGTTAGCATATCTCTAAGAATACATACCCAGTCACTCTAAAATGTCACATCCATCACTTAGATCAGCTGTTCAATTTTAACCGAGCACACGTTGAACTTTGGGCATCTGCTGACACAGTTGTAACTCAAACATTTCAACTGTGTGACTGACAGGGATAACAGATGCTGACATTATCAAATGCTACACGGCTTTTTTTCCACAGCCGTTTTTTGTCCCGATATGGCCAGTACATGAAACTGTATTGCCATCCAAAAGCGCACTTGAGCAGCTGTATCTGTAAAACAGTTCCTCTGTAACTGGTAAAAATAGAAACTCATTTTATAGCCATCTTGATGCTTAAGTCCAAGTGACACACCTGCTACGTTTCTATTAGGATACATGGTGTTGGGAATATATTTACATAAATCTCCTCACCATCATCAGACTATGCAACAAACAGATGTAGACTATCCTTGACATACTGATTGCTCGGGAATGGTTTGAAGTAAGGTTGTCCCCTACTTTCCACTGCAGTCAAAGCTTGGAAATAATTCAGTGTGACATAAAAAAAGCTATGTGAGCTCACACAATTGTATTAAGGACCTTAGTGTAGAAGAAATCAGATGCAACCCCAGATAAATTTTTAAAAGCTGTACTTTTTGGGCATTAAACATTTTTACATATACTATCAGGATAAGAGAAAATGAAATCTACCCTGCTTTATTATATAATCATTCCTAAAAAGTTAACACTAACCAGAGATATAGCAATGGAATTGAAAGCACTTGGCATTTATATTTGTGCTAACCAACTACAGCATAAAAGCAGCTGCAAAAGGGAACCTGCCAGAAAATGAATGAGGGGAAGGGGGGGAGGAGGGTGACAAGGAAACGGAAACATTCTTCCCCAGTAAAGTTTAACATAAAGAAGTAAGGGAGCTCTCTATATGATCGAAATTTTAAGACTACAGTTTCTAATCTAGTCTAAAATTTGATTACACTAGACAGGAAAAAGTTAAAACTGTAACTATGATTTGATTTGAGAGTCATCCAAAGATCCTCAAGGAAATACTCAAGGACAGAACTAACCTGCATAGGCCTTTCTGGTACATAGCTTTAAATCTTGCCATCTCCAAATTAGGAAAGAGTTAAAAATTTGCATTGACAAGAAACAAATTGTGTAACACAGAAGAAAGCTGGGTATTCTTTGTGCACTGCTCTCGTGCTTTAAAATGTGTTACTGAATTATAAGCTTCCTGCACTCCAATGCTTTGCTAAAGCTGGTAAAATGGAACCAAATCACCTCTTCAATGGATTTGGTCCCCTTCAACCAGCTGTAGCTATGCATTGATCACTACAGGATTTCTCATGTTTTTAACACTGGACACAAAACCTGCTCAGAGCAATTATGCAGTCCTCTCTGCAATCCAGCTCAACTTCTAGGCACCCTGAATATGGAAGGTAACCATGAATATAGCAAATTCTGTATTACAAAATTTTAAGTTTGTATTTGTAAATAAATAGCTACTGGTGTTTAACATTTTGTCCATATGCAACGAAAATCATCTCTTACAATATTTATTAAAAAGATAGGTAAGCAATGAAATAAACATTTCCCAACGATTTATTGTTTCTTGTATTCTTCCTCAAGTCTGGTGCTCTTTCGAGCAGAACTGACCAAAAACACGCAGAACCCAAAAGGAAACAATCAAAAACAGTACTGGCAAAGCAGGTTTACTTTCTGGGCATCCCTCTCCTCTTTTTTTCATTGCACAAGGAAGGAAACTCCACGGGGCAGGAACTATATTTGCCATTTTGTATCTGTCGGGCACATTATTTACTATTTAAAGATAATAAATTTGTCACTGACCTCAACAGCTACAGGCTAATCTGCCATCTAATAATAGGTCTGCTCATGGAGATTATATTCTTCCTCCAAACCAACTTGAACAAAAGTATTCTTCCAAAGCATTTTCTGACATAATACTTTAATAAGAGGTTTTAAAAACAGGCTCTCTTTGCACTCAGCTTCAACTAAGCTTAACCTACACTTACTGTCAGGACTGCAAATACAAAAGGAAAAAAACACTTTGACAGGCTTAGAAAATAATTGTACCACTCTCATTTCCTCAGAACTTGTCTCTCTGAGGACCTACATGACAACACAGCCGGTGAGTCCTGCAGACAGTTCCTGAAGACACTCATTAACATCAGGTAGAAGTGAGAAACCCCACCTCTCAATTAAATTGCTACAGTTAGAAATTTCAACGCCAGCCTGTTCAAGCCATCTGCGAATCTAAAAGCAAATGGGAGGCCTCCTAAATAATAAGAAATGCATGGGGAAAAATTATCATTCCATTTTAAAGCACAATCTCCTGCTTGTCAGTTTATGAACACAAAGATGGCAATACCTCTCGCTATTGGAGAGCAATACATAAAATCTGCATCTTACTCCAGGACTTTAATCTTTTGATTTAAAGTCCAGCAGAATTTATTGCTCTGAAGAGCTAATCATACATAAGTGTGAAGTCAGGTCAGCTCCAAGAGCAGCCTCTATTTAAGATGCTAGCTGTAGAGTGAATAAAGCTCTCTTCACAAGATACAATGCAAATCTAAAACTAACTGGGGCAACGGATATAAAATACGCCTACACTTCACAGTCATGTCTTCAGCTCAAAAATCTGAAGTCACAGGTATGCGAATAGATCAAACATAAGCAAGAGATGATAACATGGCAAAAATAACGAATCTGTACAGTATTTTCAAATTTTACTCTCCTTTTTTCTGTCTGAAAAAAATCTCATTAACACTGAAGAGGCAAAGTCTGCCAAGCTTTGAGTCTCACAGTACTTTGAAAAAAGTCCAAAATAAATGCACTTTTAATGACTGACACAGTTAAAAATCATGAACAAGAAACCATGTATTAAATAAAAGTTTAACTTCACGACACTTAATTTAAAATTTCTTTTTAGCTCTCGCATGCACAAGTTTAAAGCTACCTACAGCATAAACGAACATCCATTCTACATTTCAACACTATACATCAGCACAAAAACCAAAAGTTCTCTTCCTGTACCAATTCATAAGGTACAAAGAGAAGCAAAACATAAAGAGAGGAAATATTCTACTAAGAATAGGATGCTCTCTGAAACACAGTGTACCTTGACTTGTGGAAAACACAGCCAAACTGCCATGGAAGATAAAGTGCTGAGAAAATCTAAGCTATTTGACATAAATCACTATCTTTCTTATAATATTTATCCAATATTCAAACATCTAAAATAGAATGTATTTGTTTTCATAATAAAAATTT